AAGAAAATAATAAGGACATTGATAATCTATTCTATGAAATCTTGGAACAAAACTTTCCAAACCTAGTTAGCATTCAAATAACCAGACCCAAGAAATACAAAGGACCCCAAATAGACTCAACCCAAGAAGATATCCAAGGCACATCATAGCCAGATTGGCCAAAACCACAGATAAAGGCAAGATACTAAAATTGGAAAGAGATAAACATCAAATTACTTACAAAAGTTATCCTTTCCCATCATGTTAATGTCAGATCTCTCGTCAAAAACAATGCAGGCAAGGAAAGAAGTGTTAAATGAAAACAATTTCAATGAAGATTACTATACCCTGCAAGAGTATCTTTATTTGGGAAAAAAAGATAAAAACATTCTCAGATAAACAAAACCTGAAAAAATTTACCAACCCCAGACCAGTTCTTCAAGAAATTCTGAAGAGAATGCTATACCAGGAAAATTAAAGTCAGACGCAGATATAAGAGAACAAAAAACAACCAAGAAAATGACTGACTTAATGATAGGAACATGTCTGGAAATATCAATAATAACTTTGAATGTTAGTGGATTAAATTCTCCTATCAAGAGCCACAGACTGGCTGAATGGATTAAAAAACCCAGAAACCCTCTCTTTTGTTGCCTACAAGAAATGCACCTTATGGGTAAAGACACACATAGACTAAAAGTGAAGGGCTAGAAAGAGGTATTCCATGCAAACGGAAATAAAAAAAGGGCTGGAGTCACAGTACTAATTTCAGACAAAATAGGCTTTAAGACAAAATCTGGAAGGAGACAAAGAAGGGCATTGAAGAGTAGTAAAAGGGCCAAGTCATCAAGAAGACATCATGCTTATACATTATCTAGGCACTCAGTTCAGGAGCACCCAAATACGTGAAGGAAAGGCTGCTAGAGCTAAAAGAAGAGATAGGTTGCAACACTATAATCATTAGGGATCTCAACACCTGATTATCTCCGTTAGACAGCTCTTCTAAAAATAAGCAGAGAGATACAGGACCTAGTGATACTATAAATCACATTAGTTGACAGACACCTACAGAACTTTACACTCTAAAACCACAAAACACACATTTTTTTTCTCACCCCCGCATGGAACCTTTTCAAAGATTTATGATAGGGCATAAACCAAGCCTTTACAGATTCAAAGGTATAGAAACTATATCCAGCATCTTCTCTGACCATGATGGAATTAAACTTAATTTCAAGAAAAATCCTTGAAAATACACAAACACATGGAAACTGAACCACCTGTTTCTGAATAACTTCTTAACTACTGAAGAAATTCAGTCTGAAATCAAAAAATTTATGGCAACAAATGATAATGAGTACACGAGTTTCCATAATCTATGGAACGTCACAAAAGCAGTCATAAGAGAGAAATTCATAGCAATTAATATGCCAACCAGAGAACACGGAGGAAATGGACAACTTCCTGGATGCGTGTAGTCTACCAAGGTTGGATCAGGAGGACATGGAAAACCTGAATAGACCCATAACAAGCCATGAGATTGAATTAATAAAACATAACCTCCCACCAACAAAAAGCCCAGGTCCTGATGGCTTCACTTCTGAATTCTACAAAACTTCTAAGGAAGAGTTAACCTCCATTCTTCTCAAATTATTTTAAAGATCCAAAAGGAAGGAAACCTCTCAGATCCATTTTATGAAGCCTCCATCATCATTCCCAAGACAGATAAAGACATGGCGAAAAAGAAAAACTACAGACCAATATCTCCGATGAATATAGATGTGAAAATTCTCAACAAGATACTTGCAAATCCTATCCAATAACATATAAAAAAGATTATACATCAAGACCAGGTAGGCTTTATTCCAGGGATGTAAGGGTAGTTCAGCATACACAAGACCATAAATATAATACACCAAATTAACAGAAAGATTAAAAACTATATGATCATTCCAATCAATGCAGAGAAAGCATTCCATAAAATACAGCATCCCTTTATGATTAAGACTCTTAGCAAGATCCACATAGAAGGGTCATTTCTCAACACAGTAAGAGCCATATATGAAAAACGTATAGCTCACATTATACTGAATGGGTAGCTTTTCCACTAAAAACTGGTACTAGACAAGGCTGCCTACTTTCTCCATTCCTGATTTCAATATAGTGCTGGAAATTTTAGCCAATGCAGTTAGAAAAGAGAATAACATAAAAGACATTCAAATAGGCAAAGAAGAGTTGAAAAAAAATCTTTATTTGTAGATGACATGATAGTATACTTAGGAGACCCAAAGGTACCCATGAAAAACTTCTCGAAGTAATAAATGAATATAATAAAGTGGCAGGATACAAAATCAACATCCACAAATCTATAGCATTTCTGTATATGAAGAACAAGTTGAATGAGGTAGAACTGAAGCAAGGAATTCCTTTTACCATAGCCACAAAATGTGTAAGATACCTAGGAATAAACTTTACTAAGTCAAAGACCTTTACAAAGAAAAGTATGAAAATCTTAAAAAAAAAGATTGAAAATGACAGGGAAAAAAGTGGAAGAACATCCCATATTCCTGAACTGGAAGAATTAATATAATCAAAATGGCAGTTCTACCCAAATTAATCTACATAGTCGACACAATTCCAATCAATTTATCAAAGTTATTCTTCACAGATCTAGAAAAGACAATCATAGAATTTGTTTGGAATCATAAAAGACCTTCTATTAAAGCAATCCTGTGCAGGAAAAGTGGATTGGGTGGCATCTCACTCCCTTACCCCAAAATATACTGTAAAGCTGTGATAATCAAAACAGCATGGTATTGACAGATGGACCAGTGGAATAGAATAGAGACCCCAGAAATAAATCCCAAAACATACAATCAACTGATTTGTTTTTTCAGAGGTTTTTGCTGTAGGGTTTGTGCGCTTGCCAGAAAGACAGAGACAGAGAGACAGAAAGTGGGAATCACACCCCTCCTCACCTCGGGGATGGCCATGCTGCAATCCCTTGTCCTCCGTTCTCCTCTGGGGATCTTGGGGACATACGCACATATGCCCGGTGTGAGTTTAAGCCACCAGGTCTGGGACTCAAACCACTGTGGTAGACTACGTGGGAGTCCAGCAATGTAGCCATTATACCAACTGCTGGTTCCCCAAATGATTTTTGACGAAGGATACCAGACAATTCAGTGCGAAAAGGAAAACCTCTTCAGCAAATGGTGCTGAAAAAACTGGGCATCCACCTGCAGAAAGATGAAACTGGATCCCCATCTTTCACCATTAACAAAAATTAATTCAAAATGGATCAATCTGAACCTAAGATCTCAGACTTTGAAACTATTGGTGGAAATCACTGGGAAAACTCTGGGAGACATTGGGGCAGGCAAAGACTTCTTAAGACCCCCCAAACACAGGCAATAATCCCCAAAATAGGTAATGGGATTACATCTGATTAAGAAGTTTCTGCACAGCAAAGGGCAGTAATTAGAGTGAATCGAAAACCTTCGGAATGGGAGAATAATTTTATAAACTGTGTCTCATATAAGGGACTGATAACCAGAATACACAGGGAACTCAACCTTCTCCCCCCCAAAAATGATTAACACAAAATATGGGAAAATGAACTCAACAAAAATAGTCCAAGGAAGGTATCTGAACAGCCAAAGAGCATATGAAGAAACTCAATATCCTTCATCATAAGGGAGATGCAGGTTAAAACCACAGTGAGATACCACCTAACCCCTGCCAGAATGGCGAAGATTAAAAATACAAAATATTGTAAGTGTTGGCAGGGTTGTGGTGAAAGGGGAACTCGTCTACACTGTTGGTAGTAGTATAAATTGGTCCAGCAGCTGTGGAGAACAATATGGAGGTTCCTCAAAGACCTACAAATAGAACCACCACATGATCCAGCAATCCCACTCCTTGGTATCTACCCAAAGGACAAGAGAATGCTCAGTCAGAAAAGCGCTTGCACAGCATTCGTCACAATTGCTAAGAAATGGATCCAACCCAAAAGTCCATGAACAGATGAACGGATTGAAAAAGTCTGGCATATATACTCTATGGAATGCTATTCTGCCATAAAAAACAAGACCCTGGCATTTGATAGAAAGTGGTTGAATGTGGAAGATTTACTGCTGAGTCAAGCAAGCCAGGCTATGAAAGAGAGATATTGTATGTCTCCACTTAATATATCTCAATTGTCCACGCTGTATGGTAGAGATTAAAAGATTGGAAGACATAAAAACAGTGAAAATAGTTATGGACACTGGAGACAGTGTGGAGGGAGGGTGGGAGAGGGGAAGAGTGCAGGGAAGGAAGTCAGGGAGAAAATAGAGCGATCACATGCTGCGGACACAGACATGGTTTATTGCCTGTTGATGATGTGTGTAGTATTCTAAGCTGGTCTGCTGTGAGGTGCACTTCATGTCAGGTAAGTACTTTTTACAAGCCAAATGATACATAGCGATCAAATGTTTAAAAAAAATATGAATTAAGAAAAAGGAAAATGAAAGATACCAAATCTCTACCTTTGTAAAAAGATTATTTACTAAGGAATCCCTGTTTGCTTAGTAATAGTTTATGGCAGATTTTCAGGGTTACCAGTTGGATCACACCTGCCTGTCTCGCTCTGACGTATGTCAGGACACTTCTGCACTTTCTCACTGAGATGTGCCTTCAACAGCAGTGTAAGGTGTTCAAACTTGCCTTCTCCTCATTCTTCATTTTCTTTATTTTTAAGCTCAAGTGTGTTTGCTCCATATCTCCACTGTAAACAAATCCACAAGCAGAAACTGGGCAGGCGCGAGCTGGAAACATGTCCAGTTCATCGTGCGTCCTCCCATTTGTTCTTGCTGTATATAGCACTGTCTTATATGAGAACATGTATCGATAGGTGATTTATGAGGATTTTGAGGGGGCTTTGCTGAACACTTAAGCCAATGAAACACATCTGTAGGTATATATTCTTCTATGCCGTTACACTTCACTGAAGATTTACATTTTATTTCTTCTCGGAAAAGCAGAATCAAAGTATGAGGGGAAATGGCAGAAAACAATACCAAGACTCACCTAATCAGAAAAAGAGAACAAACGGGATCCACGGTCAGCCGGTAAAGCAGCAGCACCCGTTGATGGTAAGCATCACCGGTCCCTTGCCCAGGGGCAGTTGACCCTGTTAACTGGCCTTGCTAGGAAATGTTACTGAAACGTTACTTGCTTTGCTCTCATTTTAACTGATGCAGTAATAGGATCTTACGGCACTAAATTATGTACTGCTTTACCTTACTTGTTTGACCACTTTTAATTATGTTTCCAACATCGATTCATTTGCAAGTCTAATCTTTTCTTTTTATGTGGTTATGTATACTCACTAATGCTTTAAAAACAACATGCAGTTAGTCCTGTTCTCTAGAACAGTTCCTTGACTGGGAACCAGCAGTTAGCGTAATGACTATGTCGCTGGACTCCCATGTAGTCGTCCGTGGTTCGCGTCCTGGACCCGGTGGCTTAAAACTCACACCGGGCACGTGTTCGTGCGTGCCCAAGATCCCGAGAGGAGAATGGAGGAGAAGGGACTGTGGTGTGGCCATCCCCTCTGGGGGGTGATTTCTCGCTTTCTGTCTCTCTGTCTCTCTGTCTGACTGGTGAGTGTACACGCCTTATAGCAAAAACCTCTCAGAAAAAAAAAAAAAGAGAAAAAATTTTAAAAAGAACAGCTCCTTGACTGTTGTCCTGTCTATGTTTTTCTAAATTGTATATTATAATGAGGTAAAAAATTTTGGGAGAACTTCACAATGTATTATATTAAGTTGATAGAATTTAGAAAATAAAGAATGAACATTAATAGCCAAATGCTCTTGTCGTTAGAGTAGGCCTGAGGACTGCAGGGGTAGTCCTTTTGCCCAGAGATGGAGCTGGATCTCCCATGGCTATGTGGTTCAAATTCCAGACCTGATGGTTTGAAAAACACCCACAGGCTTCTGTGTGTGTATGCCAAAATAGCAGCAGGATGGAGAAGTAGGTGGAGGGGCTGTGGCGTGGCCATGCCGCGTTAGAGAGGGCTTTCCCTGCCCCCTTTCTCTCGTCTCTCTCTCCTCTCCTCCTGTCTGTCTCGCACATGCTCCTTGCAGCAAATTAAAAAATGGAGAGACAGTTGTGAACCTTTAAGTCGTTTTCTTTCATTCTCTTAGTCTGTTACTCTAGAAAGTAACTTTTAACATAGTTTTTCTTGCTTATCTTTTTTGTGTGATACTTGTTTGTTGGATTTTCTTATTGTAGCTTATTTTTCTTTTCTTTCTTTTTTTTGAGAGATTTTTGATATAGGGCGCATGCGCTTTCAGAAGAGACAGGAAAATAGGAAGAAATCACCCCCTGCGGGGGATGGCCACACTGCAGTCCCTTCTCCACTCTCTGGGATTTTTGAGACTGTACACCCATGTACCTGGTGTGCGTTTTAAGCCGTTGGGTCCAGGACTCGGTCCATGGTTGGCTACTTGGGAGTCCAGTGCCTTAACCTCTATGCCATTTTCATTTTTCAATAGTGGATGATGATACTAATTTCAAATTTTTAGCAAGAATATTTTACCTGAGTTTCCTGTGCACTGCTTACTTAACTTGGGATACAATGATTGTACAAGTAAACATATCTTAAACATAGGTTTTAATTTACTCTGGAGAAAGAAAATACTGCCAAGAATAAAGAAAACAATCTTAAAAAAAATTTTTTTTTTTTTAGGCTTTTGCCATAGGGTGGGTGTGTGCTAGCCGGAGACAGACAGAAAGAGAGACAGAAGGGAATGGCCATGCCGCAGTCCCTTCTCCATTCTCCTCGGGATCTGGGGCACGTACATGTCTCTGATGTGGTTTTCAAACTGACAAGGCCAGGATTAGCACCGTGGTCGGCCCCGTGCAGGCCATGGCCTTAACCACCATGTCACCTGCTGGCCCAGGAGCTGATCTCATTTATTTATGTATTTATTGTATTTTATAGTCAGTCGTGTATATCACTTGGTCTGTAAAGCAGATGTATCCAGCTTGGACACACGTCGTGCCGGTCCAGTTCAGGATCTGCACACGTCTAGGAGACCGTCCAGTAGGTGATCAAAAGTGTAGTGAAATTTAATACCTCTTCCAAATAAAGCTGGACAGACTTCCTTAACCATGATATTTTAGGAATGTTAATTATACTCAAATCAGCCCATAAATTTAATTCAACACCAATAAATCCTTTCAGAGTATTTTGGGAAAAAAATTTGACTAATTTGACTCTCAAATTAGTCTCGAAGCTCAGTAGATTTTTAAAAAGTTGTGGTTTTTTTTTTTTTTGGGGGGGGGAGGTTTGCTATAGGGCACGTGTACTTGCCAGAAAGACAGACAGAAAGTAAGAAATCACTCCCCAGGGGAGAAGGCCATGCTGCAATCCCTTCTTTATTCTTCTCTTGGGATCTTGGGCACACACACACACACGCCTGGTGTAAGTTTAAGCCACCGGGTCCAGGTCTACATGGAAGTCCAGCGACATAGCCGTTACACCAACTGCTGGTCCCAATTTTTAAAACGTTTTTAAACTGCTGCACAGGTGCTGTGCCCTGCAGGCTGGGGCCACACGGAGGCCCAGGCTCAATTGCCAGTCTGGCTTAGAGGCCCAGTGTGTTGGCACATGTGTGGTTAGCTCTGTCTGAACAGCTGAAGAGGAATTGCAGGCCTGAGGCTGGTCTGGGCAGTATAGCAAGGCCTGCCTGCAAGGAGCCAGGTGTGGTGCAGTGACTGTCCCAGCTGGCAGCTCAGGCGGGAGGTGAACGTTAACGGTGGAGGGCAGGAGTGTGGGCAGTTTGTAAAGCAGGCACTAAGAGTGTCTGACACACAGGGAAGCTGTTAAACCATGTACAGCCAGAGAATGCAGATAAAAATGGAGCACTGTTTTTCCCCATCAGATGAAAAAGATGCTAATTGCTGGTCGTGTGTTAATACAGTGGTAACACTTGACAGCTGCTAATCGGTACAGCCTTCTAACGAGGATTTTGGCTGTATCCAAGCCTGAAAAGGGTGGGCCGCAGAGACTAATTAGTAACGGGAACCCGATACCGCGCGGCCACCCATGCAGTTTGAATGCTGGCCCTGGTGGCCTGAGAAACACTGGATGTGGGTGTGTGCCTCAGAATCTGACAGTGGGAAATGCAGGAGAGGGTTATGGCGTGACAGGGCTCCATAGTGCGTACTCTCCCTCCCTCTCTGCTGAGCTCAAGTTCCCCCAAGTTATGATGCATTTTTGCATAGAAAAACACATCGTGACTTTCCAGCAGCCTAATAGATAGATAGATAAATAGATAAATAATACATAAAACAAATAAGCAGTTTGAGAAATGATGCCGACATAGAAGAAAAAGAAGTGCTCTCTCTGGAGGTGGAATTGAAAGAATGACAACATGGACGCAGCCTTAGTAACTAAGATGCCGTGGCCTGTACTGTCGATCGGTGCGAGAGACTCCCAGGAAGTCAGGGCCGGCCCCACAGCACGGTGGGTAGCTGCTGTACCTTGGGAGCTGGCTCCCACGGAGCTGACCGCGGTTCGCATCCCAGCCCTGATGCCCGTGCCTTGAAAAAACACTGCACATGTGTATGTGTGCCCCCAACCCTGGATAGAGGGAGGGGAGGAGGGAGGATTGCAGCGTGACCACGGTTCTCTCACATACACGGCCTCTGGCATTAAAAAAAAAGACAATGTAGATTTGTATTTTTTGAAAGAGGAATTTGCTCACAGTGTACATGTCACATTTAAAAAGGTTAGAGTAGTAGTGCGTATCGGAGAATTCCATGTAAAAGTTGTGGTTAGGGCTGGCTCCGTGGTGCAGCAGTAACCCACTGCTCAAGAGAGCCGGCTCCGTGTGGCACCTGCAGTCGGGCCCCAGCCAGGCCGGCCCCACCAGGCCCGGCACACATGAGTGTCCAAGGTCCGGCGGCAGAAGGACTAGAGAAAGGGGATTACTGTGGAGGGTGCTCTCCTCTCTCTCTCTCTCACACACACTTTGGTATGTGTGTGTTCTGTCATGATTTAAAAAAATGTCCAATTATATGAAAATGAATTTATACATCTTAGGGAAACTGAAACGATACAATGAATAATTTTTTTCTTTTTTCTGATTTCTCTAACATACATGTAATCAGTAACTAAAAACGTTTTATTCTTAACAAATAAGCATAAAATACATGAAAGTAAATACCAGTGAGAGTGCTGATTAGCTTCGTGGTTTAGTTTTCTCCTCAAGAAATGCGATATACACAATCCTTCTTAAGAGGCTGGGGAGAGGCATTGTCACAGGTCTCGCTGTGCCAGCATGCTAGTTAGTTATGGTTTCAGATGTGCACGGCCATGCGGGAATGTCAGCTTGGCCTTCCGGCCTCTCGAGTGGCGCTGCGCCCCACGCTCTGCCAGGGGTGGGCCTAGTTTGGGTTTTAATAAGTGAAGTAACTGGAGGCTGTGTGTTGTATGTGTGTGTATTTGTTTTTTGTTTTTTAATAGAAATGTGAAAAGAAACTTCATCCACGAAAGCTTCAGGATAATTTTGAAACAGGCAAGTCATTTTCTCTTTTAAAAATCTCCTTTGTGAGGCTGGGTTTGGTTTTGGCTGTCCTGGCTGTTGTGGGCTGTGTGGTCGCTAAGCGGGAAGAGCTGCGGAGGTTCTGTGGAGAGAGTGTTCTTGAAGTATGAAGCTGCCTCTGACGGCTGAAATGATCAAGGTAAACCCACTCGCCCTGTGCTGTCTTCCTGGACGTCCAGTTTTGGTGCTATGAATGGGTGCTGTAACCGTAAACAGATACTTGGTTCGTGTCAGGGAGAGCAGAGAGAGCCAAGCACTGTAAAGTGGAGGACCTCATTCTCTCAGTGTGGAATGAGAGTACTGACTTCCGAGGGGAAACATGGCTACTTTTTCAGAGGTACTAGTGGTCAACTTAAGTTCTTAAGAATTATTTAATTTTTAAATTATTATAACTAGCTATAGGGTATACATACTCACCAGAGAGACAGCAAGAGAAAGTGAGAAAGCAAGCCACCAGGTCCAGGCCTTCAACGTACTCTGCTGTGTGGGAGTCCAGCACCTTCACGCCATACCACCTGTTGGCCCCAGTGATCAGCTTTTAAGGGTAGTAGGCACTAGCTTTTTTAAAAATTAATTAATTTAATTTTATTTATTATCATTAGAAAGGGAGAGAGAAAGTGGGAAAGCAAGCTTTCAGGTCCGGTACCCAAACCACAACCCGCCGTCTGGGAGAATAGCACCTCTACCACCATGCCACCTGCTGGCCCTGGCGCTAGCTTTAATTAAAATGGTACTTTAAGTTTTTTCATCCTTCATTATGAAAGGTAGATGTGTTGTCTGATTTGGAAAGTAACCCTGATGCATGTAGAAAGCTCTTTGTAATAGTGATTTAATAGATTTCCTTGGGAAGTACGGTACTCAGGTGTTATTTTTGAATTCTGTGAAATTCCCTGTGCTGTAGATATGCATTTATTCACTATCTAAATTGAAGCACTTCACATACAAAAGTCTGAGACATGAGAAACATTGTCGTATTCCTTTTCTTCAGTACTGTAATTTAAGCAAGATAAAGCCCATTTTAACAGGTGCTTTAAATCCAGTTACTGAAAGTTAAGGCTAGTAGTGAGGCAGGAAGTATCATTAGAGTTTAGTGTAGATCTGCTCGTTTTGTTTTGTTTTTACTTTAATTGCTGCGTTTGGTGTCCTATCCAAAACAATCATTGTTAGGACCCTGGCAAGGTCGTCTGTGTCTCCTAGGAACGGGTTTTCATTCTACATTTAAGCCTTTGGTCCATTTCAACTTTATTTTGTGTGTGATATAAGATCAGTGTTCAATTTCTTTTGCATGTAGGTATGACATAGCTTGCTTCAGTTTTCTCAGCACCATTTATTGAAGAGTGTCCTGGAGAAGTCATGGGTGTAGAAGTCCCCTTAATAGGACTTTTTTTCTGGCTGTCTTGAGAGATGTAGACATGATAGGTTGATGGTTAAATCTAATTACCATACATTCAATAGTCGGTTATTTCACAAAAGTTTTTCAGAGCACTGTGTGGTTGGGAACATTGAAGAAGCAATGGCTGGTCCCATGACCTACTGGTTAAGGGACTGGATCCATGCACTTGGCTGACCGCAATTTGAATTTCAGCTCTGGCTGCCTAAAAAACACCAGCAGGTGGCGTGGTGGTTGAGGGGCTGGACTCCCACATGGCCAACTGGGGTTCGTTCGAGTCCCGAACCTGGCAGCTTACCTTCTCACTGTTATCTTTTTCTGGCCAAACTGAATAATAGCAGTAATAATAAATAAAATAACGCTATTTAAAAAGGCAGTGTGGGACCAGCAAGTAGTGTGATGGTTAAGGTGCTGGACCCTTCCACATGGCCAACCATGGTTCAAGTCCCAGACCTGGTGGCTTGCTTTCTCACTTTTCCTCTCTCTCTCTCTCTCCCCCCCTGCCTCCCCCAACCTCCTAAGTTAAGACAAAAACAAAAATCATACATAGCCTCCCCCCCCCCTCCCCCCCTCTGTGTGTGTGTGTGTGTGTGTGTGTGTGTGTGTGTCTGGTCAAATTAAAATAAATGAATGAAAAAATAAATAAGCAATGAAACAAACAAAAATCCAGATAAAATGGGCTGTAGTACGATTTTGATAATTTGTGTTCTTGACTAGGTTGGATCTATTCATAGAAGACTTACTTGGTAGACTTCAGTTTCTTTTTCTAGAGTTGTAATCTTTTCCATTTTTACAGTACAATAGTAATTTTAAAGTGCTTTAGGTTTTGATATCAATAAGCTTGTTACTATATTGGCACAAAATAACAATCAAAGGAGGTGAATATTTTGTAAGGAAGGGAGTGTCGGGTGAAGCCTGAGGTTACAGTTTTGGGTGTCAGCATGAAAGTAAGCAGGTAAATCAGGGATTCAGTGGGGCACTAGTTCAGAGAGAGGGAACTGTCTCGGAGCTCTGGCCAGCCAGGTTTGGGATGGGAAGGTGCACACCCTTCCTGTACACAGGCTCCTGTGCACGAGGTGAACTACACACGCGCTTCGTGCCGAGTCGCTGACGGGGTTATTTTGTCTACGCAGATGCCGGGCATGACATTCCCTGCTCCAGCGAAGACCAGGCGTCCGCACGGGCTGAGGCACAGTCCGTGCCGTGTAACGGGCACTGCAAGGTCCCCTTCTCGTCCAGAGCCTTCCTGAGTTTCAAGTTTGACCATAATGCTATAATGAAAATCTTGGACCTTTGAGAGCAGCAGGGGACTGTGGGACGCCCAGAGCAGACCCCTGCCTTCACACGTCTCCGCAGCCTTCCGGTTCTCAGGGTTGTCCGGAGTGGCAGTGACACGGTGCTGCTGAAGAGCCTTTCTGTGCCGGAGAGTAGGATGGGAGAGGAGTTTGCACTGTAAATGCAGATGTAGCTTTTTATACAGATTTACCTTTTCAGTGTTTGCAACAGTGTAAGTTGCCTTCTCTTGAATTTGTGTTATGTGACTGTTTCATTTTGTATTTTGGTCAGGAAAATTGTGTTTGAGTCCTCATGCAGCCGCGGCCGATGCTGGGGATGTGCCACCCACCCGTTGCAGTGATTCCAATAATAGTTTACTTACTGAGATTTTAAAGAGAAACTTAAAATACTTAATTACTAGATGAACTCAAGACACACATGAGGGTTTGCAGGTCACCCGCGCTGGTGGCATTTTATGTGTTTCTCTGCCTCTAAGCTGAGAGCTGAGTCTCTCTACCTCCTGGTGGAGGCTGCTGTAAGGATTTACTTAGAGCCGCAGCTGCAGTGCGAGGCTCGTGTTCAGAACAAACTGAGTACTTCATTAGCGGGTAAAGCCTGCAGCTCGGAGGGGCCGAGGGCAGGGGCTGATGGGCCAGGGTCTGGTTTTGAGCTGTGCTGCGTGCAGTCAGTAACTGCTGGCGGGAGGGCTCGGGCCTGGGGTGGTCTCCACACCGGCCGCGGCCTTCGTATTGGACAGTGGATTTGTCCCGGGGAAAGTTGCTTCCGTATCCAGTTGTGTGGATGGGGGGGAAGTGACACTGCCGGGTCTCCGTCGCGTCTCCGTTGACCTGGGAGACTGAGACTTTCCTGTTAGGCTCAGCTCCTAGTGATAGCAGAGGCAGTTGTGCTCCTGTGTCAGCGGCCCTGGGTGATGGCGCCGCGGGAGCCCGCTGCTCCCCGGACCCAGAGCTTCAGGTAGGGTGGTCGGCACAGGAGGGGATGGCTACTCGCTCCTGGGAATGCATGTGGCTCCTATGGGGTCTTCATACCCAAATACAGATGGCTTGCCCACGTTTGAAAGGATTTCAGCTGTAATTGAGGACAATCACCAGGGCTTCGAGAGGGAAGGTGGCTTTAAAGTTTTGGCTGCATCTGACCACACTGAAGGTATTTCTGGGGCGGGGGAGGTGTGTGCATGTGTGAGTGCATGCGCGTGTGTGCATGTGTTGTGGTTTTAAAAATCTTTTTTTAGAAGTGTATCACAAAATATATCTCAGCTTGTAAATGTTACTGTAGAAATCTTTATTCTGTATAGATAGCCTATTTAACAGGGGTTCTACATAACCCCTGAGCTTTTTAAAGAAGGGCTGTTGTAAGGAATTTACTTGGTATTACTTTGACTTAACTTTTAAATGGCTTGATTTTAAAGGAGAAATTCTATTTATTAATCAAGTGTCACTCTCTTGGTGCTAAGCAGGAGAATTCAGTTACAGCAGTGTTTAGTTAGGTTATCCAGAAATCCTGCACTTCGTAATGTGACGGATTCGTGAGTCTTTCTGTGGTTTGCTTTTTAATGCGTTACGTGACCGCGTTGGGAAGCTTTTACTGTTCTTTTCTAAGGCCGGCTGCTTTGCGTGGATCTCCTTGAGCCGTTTGTAGTTGATCCCAGCATTCCAGACTCCTGCTAGTTGTTACGGCAGTGAAAGCAGTTGGCCTGGCAGATGAGTCATTTTCACTTGTACTGTCATCTGGAAATGATTGAACTTGTAGTGATTTTGTATGTTTCTTTTCTTCAGTGACTATTTGGTCAGGCTTTCTGGTGCCTGCGGAGTTGGGTTTTGGCTCCCAGTCCTGAGCAGCAGAGGTGAGAGTCAGTAACCAGTAGCTGCGGTGGGGGCTGTGCCCTCGGTGTCTGGTTCGCCATGGTCGAGCGCCATCGCTGTCGTGCTGCCGCGTTCACGCACCGTGGAACAAAATGCGGGTAGTGCCGCGCTGCGGTGATGGCGACTTGCTCTGCGCCCTCCATTAGAGGCTGAAGGGGTGAGGGCGCACCTGGGTGACTTGCCTACGCCAAGTGTCTCCGTGGGAGGCGGCTTGGGCCCTCCGGCCTGCCCGAGTGTCTGGGTTCGCTCCCCCGGGAGTGGCCGTGCTTCACTCGGACTGGCGGTCTGGTCTCCTGGGAGGGACTGGAGCATGGTTTGAAGGGAGCAGGGAATGGCAGGGTGCTGCATTGGCGGTTGGGGCTTGGGCCCGCGCCGCCTGTGCGTCTGCATCGTTCACCTCCGAGAGAGGTCCTAGGATTTCCTTTTGAAACGCCGTGTTCCGAGGTGCAGTGCACTGTGGATCTTTCATTTCTTAGCTTTGTAGGTGCTCTTGTGTGTAACTTTAACAGGAGATGGTAGGTGAGTTGTTTCTGTGCTTAACCATTGTAATCCAAAACAGGTACGGTTTACATGCTGATGAAAAAGATTTTTGTTAAATAGCCAATGGTTTTCGGATTTTAAATAGTGATGCTTTCCTGAGACATGAACGGTCAGAGGTCTGAGAACCTGATAGGCGTCTTAGCGTGGGCTGGACCTGATTAAGGTCCTGGGAAATTAAGTCGGCTTTTGTGTTAGGCAAAGTCATAAAGCATAGTCTCTATGTCAAAGGAATGTGGTCACTGCTTGCTGTTTTGAGCTTTGGACTAATTTTTCTATGAAATATCAATTTGTAAGTATGCATAATGATTGCATATAGCAAACTTAATTTTATGCTGTAGAATTGGGTTGGTACCTTTTGTTTTCAAAGCTTCAGTAGTATCTGTGTAGTGTCAGAAGAACTCAGATTTAATCTATATGGCTGTTCATTGTAGGATTTAAGTTCTAGGAATTCTCTAAAATTCAGCATGGTGTGTTTCCCAGAGAAGTTAAGGTATAAGCAGTGCTTCTGTATGTTAAAACAGTTCCTTTTCCTGGCTTTTTTTTGCTTTTTGTTTTTGTTTTTGTTTTTTTTTTGGGGGGGGGTCCCTTTGGTATCCTAGCAGTGAGGAGAGTGAAAGGTATAAAAATTAGGCTTTTCCCGAGTTATTTATTTTATATACCTTCTCTCGGCTTCTTCCCTTCATTTTTGTACCTGTGTACCTGTCTGTTGAGAGGCTTTGTTCTGGTTGCCATCTCTGCACCTTCTTTACTGTTGGCTGTAGTTAATACAGTCGGACACATTAACATCGTTCTTCGGAGTGACTCTGACCTGGATAGTCTTCAGCGGGGCTCACACGTATGCTTACAACTGGAGTAAGACAAGCAAGGCCCACCGGGATTGTCTGAAGGTGCCTCACCCACCTACCTGCTCTAGGTAAACAAGTGTTAGTGGAAGAACAGTTTTGTTAAGCTACCTATGGTTTCTCATTTTTGTATTACGTCTTAAGATTTAAAATGCATTTTGTATCAAGATTCTGCAAACGTGCTGCCGGGCTTTCTGGCATCCCGTCTCTCCACATACCCAGTTGCTCCTGCAGTCTGCACCCGTCAGAAAGATGGCATATTACAGATGGCCACTTCGGGCTTTGCCCGTGTTGCCAAGGAGTTCTGGGTTGCAGTTTCAAAAGTGTGATAGGTTACCATTCCAGAACGAGAGTTCCCTGAGGGAGGAGAAAGCTGTGGTTGCCGGGCAGAGGACGTGAAGAAGGTCTGTTAATACTTGGGTGCTGTGTGAGGCACTGGGCCGTGGGGTTGGTGCCTAGCTGCGTGTAATCTGTCGTCTGTGTATCTAAATACCTATCTGCGCGTGCGTGTCTGCGTGTGGCCTTAGCAAGTGTTTTCTAACCCTGGATAAAGTTCTGTTTTTCCAAGTATGATTGCCAAGCAATCGAGTGGATCTGAAGTACTTTTTCTCACTTACAGGCCGGAGTGCGGTCCGTCTCGGGAGGCTCCCTTCGAAGGGCAGCCACGATGATGGCCATGGCTTTCTTAGAGCCCAGGCACAGCCATTGTCAGCCGTGGGGTCCCTTCGTAGTGGCAGCATGACTGTCTCTTCCTCGTCTCCTCATGACACGGCATTTACTTTCACAGCCGTCTACGGTGAGGGGAAAGTGATGCCAGCTCTTCCCATGGCAGTGGGCTCGAGGGCTGGCCTCCGCCATTTGAGCTGCAAGGACTGTCCACAGAAAAGCCAGGATAAAGCGTGCAGGCGCTCACCCGAGAAGTGACGGCTGCCTCTCCGGGTCCGCAGAGGAGTGAAAGCAGCAGAGACCCCGCGTCCTGGGTCTTCTGTGGTTGGCGGGGGCTCCAGCAGTCTGGAAGCACGATCTGAATGGGTCTGACCTCCAGACGGTGACGGCGTGAGCTGGGCGGTGCTGGTCGGGCGCTCCGGGAGAGACGCGGATGTAGGCCAGCTGCCTGTAGCTACTGACTGCATTTTGTCGATGCCATTTTTCTTCTTTCATGACAGAATGTGTGCAGGAGAGGCAGAGGGAGAGGGCCTCTACGGGGTCTGCGTGCTCTACGGTCCCTTCCACCGGGCCTGCAGCCCACATGGGCGTTTCAGGCTGACTGGGCTGGGACTTGAACCCAGGTCGCCGTGCCGTGGAGCGGCTGGCTGCTGTTCTTAATCCTGTTCTTCTTGGTATTGGCTGGCCGGGAAAAAGCCAACGGGTACTTGCACGTGATTTCTTGGTGTCTTGTTCCTTCTTAGAACATCGGGTCTATTTGCGCTACATGCCTGTGGTGAAGCCGCCACTGACTTTGTAAGCAGTGATCATGCCTGCGTCCTGAAGGTGCCCTCACGGGCTGGGCTCCGGGGCGCAGCAGAGGACGGCTGGACAGCCGTGGCCCTCGGAGCCCTCGCAGGCAGGCCTCTGTCAGCAAGGTTTGGGACCCAGGAAGATGTGCGTGGGGTGGGGCTGCAGTGGGCAGTGCCTACCGGCCCTGTGCTCCAGGGGCTTCAGCTCTTTAGGGTGGGAGGTAGTGTGTTCACAGAGTCTGCAGCTCTGAAACAGTCGAGCTACACACTGCTGCGAAGCATCTGGGCACACGCCTACGTGGTGGTTTCTCAGGCTTTAGGAAGTTTGCACCTACCGTGGTGGCAGTTCGGGGCCAGCTATGACGACGGCAGTGAAAGCCGGAAGGTCCTCAGTAATGCGATTTAGAAAGCCCTGCCACTGCTCCCAGAGGGTGGTCAGACGGGCGAGTACTTCCTGAACCGGTCCCGGTGGCCTGGCCTGGCCACGCCTGGTCTTGTGCCATGCACTGGGGCAGCACGCATGCCCGCGT